GGTGAGTACAGTACATGTACAGTGACTGTAGGGTGAGTACAGTGCATGTACAGTGACTGTAGGGTGAGTACAGTACATGTACAGTGACTGTAGGGTGAGTACAGTACATGTACAGTGACTGTAGGGTGAGTACAGTACATGTACAGTGACTGTAGGGTGAGTACAGTACATGACTTCCCTGTCAGACGCGGTCGAGAAAGCACGTGTCCGCTCTCTCTGGAACTGTTGCGTGAGCTGAGATAATCGTGTGTGACGGTTAGTTTTCTTTGTCGGCCAGTTGTAAATGTGTACAGCTTGGGCGTGATGAAATTCAGTGTTTCGGCGGGAAATCAGGGAAGACAGTAAATATAATTAATCAGTGTGGAAGTGTTCAGGAGGAAATTATTCCTTTACATATAAATAGGACTCGGTAAAAAGCGTTAACAGTTCTGAAGAGTAAAACTGTAACATTCACTAAGTGAAGTAGTGAAGCAGAGTGTCGAGTTTTTCGCAATAAACCAGTGAAATAGATAAATAATAGAATAAAGCAGCAATTGGTGTGTGAAGCAGTGAAGGCGAGTGAAGAAGCGAAGCTAGGAGAGTGAAGCGACACTGGTCAACCTACAAGTTATGCTTGGTATTTATGACTGACATCCTGTCGAGCCTCCAGGATGTTAGACAAAGCTTTGTGGCCAAAGGCATAGCTCAGTGTTCACCGCGATATTTTCAAATACTCAGTGTAGGATTCCAAATATTCAGTGTGATATTTTCAATATTAAATTTTCAATTTCAAAATTCTATATTTCAATATTCAATTTTCAATTTCAATATTCAATTTTCAATATTCGGCGTAGTGTTTTCAAGTATTCATTACAATATTTTCAAACATTCAGTGTAGTGTTTTCAAATACTTGGTGTAGTAATTTCAACCTTCAGGACAGAATTTTGTGAAAAATTATATTGATTAAGATGCCATTATCCACGGCAACGTAAGCGGAACCTGAAGACATAAATAAGTTAGGAGGAAATCGCTTGTGGGAATGGAATTACGAAGAAAGTTTTACGCAAAGTCTTCACAAACTAAGATATAAAAAAAACTTTACTTGGTAGCTATAATATTGAATGGAATAAGATTTTCGAAAAGCGCAATTTTGGTTCCTGCCTATTTGTAAATTCTTAGCGAAAACGTATGATTATTTCTCATGAGTAAAGTAATTTTTCTTACAGTAAACACGAAGGAAATTAAGAAACATGACTGATTTTTATCGTCAAACCACTTTTTTGCCTTGTAAACTCGCTCTCGCATCAAATCTGAAATTGTTTCTACTATATGTTTTAATTACATTGCAATTCATGCGAAGCCCTAACTTGTCACGAGCCTATAATAATGATATACCACTACCTTGATAAACATTTCTCAATTCCTACACCATTTCTTTCATTTTGAAAGAGCATGAGAACATTTTCCTTCTATTAATAGGATTTTTCGACCAAGCTTGAGCAAGAAAAATTTTCGTTAGTTTGGTTGTTAAACAAACTTTAAGAGCAAATTTTAGGTCCTGCGTTAAGCTAAAGCAAAAAATGTGAGCAAAACGGGTTACCCTGCAGTAGAGAACTATAGCGTGAATGATCCGTGATCTTTAGACCGTGGCAACGTAAATAAGTGATTAAAGAAAAAAATTTCATTCGAAGAAAAGAGGGTATTTAACAATTTTGGAAAAAGTTATCTAATACTCTCGAATCATTTCGTTCACTCTCGCATGCCGGAGTTTATTACTATAATTAGGCAGAACTCGTACAGCTTACAGCACCCAAATTGCAGCACAGTTTCATCCAGCAAATCTTCATCTTTTTCGTCGGATGGAAATTATAAATTTCCACACATTAATTAAACATTTACACTATCACTTCTCATAATAACGTGGATGATGGACCACAACATGAGTGCTGACCTCTTCTTCAGCTGCCCCCTTCATCCTGATGGCCCACAGAGTAGCATGGATACGACGACGCCTCTCATCGGTTGACCCTCCTACATCACAGAGAATAGACTGAACGGGCATGTAAAGATAGATCCTTGTAATCCAAACATTCCAGAGTAACTCGCATGGAAAATGTGTTCATGAATAAAGAAGTGTAATAACAATTACATGTAAAGATAGATCCTTGTAATGCAAACATTCCAGAGTAACTCGCATGGAAAATGTGTTCATGAATAAAGAAGTGTAATAACAATTACATGTAAAGATAGATCCTTGTAATCCAAACATTCCAGAGTAACTCGCATGGAAAATGTGTTCATGATATTTTGATACAATCGACAAAAGATGCTGATGAGGACCGATAAGATCCGCGGCAGAACCCCTGATTTAGACTACTGGTAATACTTATTCTTCGGCTTAAGATAGAGAATCGGATTCTAGAAGTAAGATAATTCGGTTAATAATGGATCTTATAAACAAACCCTAGCATATATACTAATTAACGGTGGGAAATGAGGAATTTCTCACAATTTTGAAGTCAATGAAACGAATGATAAAAACATTTACAATCTTGAAAACGGTCAGAAAACATAGGAAACAATTGGATTTTTTGTCCGCCCTCGCCGGACAATCGCTTTTTGTCGGCATCCACCAGAAATTTTTACACTCCTAAAATGTAAAATTGCTTATCGAAATTGTTCAGCGGAAATTGTTCATACTCTGACAACGTGTAGGCAAACGTGTAGGAATACTTCAAAGGCTACACCTGCTGCGTACTCATGACCACGAAAGAAAAATCATATACTATAATGACGTGTATTATTTGTATAGATCACGTATATATTAAATTGACGTGTACGAGTGGGTGAATAAAAAACTGACTGTGTGGAGGGCGAAGTTTTAAGCGTACAACATTTTCCCAGCATGTGCAAATGTTACTATACTGTTAGAAAAATTACCGTTAACGGTATTACCGGCGTTTCAGTGGCCGGTCGGCACGTGAAAAGAAACACCGTGTCACCGTTTTTATTCCAATTTAACAATAGAAATCCGTAGAATATCTGATAAAAACAGCGAAACAGTTTATTTTCACGGGGTGACCGGCCACTAGAACGCCAGTGGGACCGTTTTTTCACCGTTTTTTTCTAACAGTGTATTGCCATGGGCCTATTTCTTCAACGCCGACACTTCTATTCTATTCTATACATGCGGCTCTCTGTCTGATGTGCTGCGATGCCAGCAAGCAAATGGTGAAATTATTATTATTCACAAATAATATCCGAGAGGGATATTTTTATTTTATTCTTTATTATTGGCCGGATATTATGGCTTATTATTATTATGCATTGGCCGGAAACGCGGCCTTCCCGTTTATTTATGTTATTTTATTCATCTATTTTATTCTACTGACAATCCTTAGTTACTGTGTCGAACATCGCTACCTATAGGAGGCCTTGTTCGTCCATCCGAATTTTTTTTCTGTCACTTGTTTTGCGCGCTCGCTTTTTGATGACTGATTTTCGTGAGCAACGAGCTTCCTTCAAAGTTTGCTTTCTTTTCTGAAAAAACTGGCAAGAAAATGCTACTGACATCATACACTGACGATGCTATGGGGAGAACGCAAGTTTTTGCGTAGGTTTCCCGCTCCCCCCAAAAAAAATAAAATGAGAAGTGTCAATTGATGATCAATCTTGTTAGTTTATCTACTTAACTGCATCTGCAGTTTCCTCTGCACTCGTGAAGTTTAGCCAATGTGTTGCACAGAAAACATTGAGCGCGGACATGACAACTCTACGAGTGCGACAGCGAAGTTTGGAACGACTGAAGTGAAGCGGAAACTTCGAGCAAGTTATCATGATTAAATTATATCCATCTCATTCAGAGCCCATTCTATATGGTATTTAAACTTATAAAAAATAAAGCAACAAACTTTCATGAAAATGAGAAGGCATTATTGTGCGAATAAAAATTGAATGGCTGAATTTAAAATTTTAGACTTGAATTTCTTCGGTCTCTCAAGTCAGGGAAAACGCGTGAAATTTCGTCAAATATCGTATTACTTTACCGCAGTCGCACGAACTATAATGTTATTTTATGCCTTCACAGTTAACAATAACAGAATTACCTCTTGTCTTGGATTTACCCTCCCTCTTTAGTAAACTACTGAGGATGTTAGCAGTATTATTACCGGCCGGACAACCTACTTAGTTTGAGTTCGGTGAAGAATCCATCCAAGACAGTCTTGGTTCTGCAGCAATAGTTTTCGCCACGCGTAGCTTCCCATTCTCTCTAATTCGCGACTTAAATATAAAGTTACCAAGATGGCGTTGAAGTGTTTTTTTTTTAACATAATGAAATGTAATTGGTAAGCTCAACGTTGGAGATCGTCAAGTGTTAGGAGCAAGTAGGGCAGGGTGTGGCAGGGTGGCCCAGTGGTTACAGTTAAGGGTACCAAGATTGACGCAGAGAGGCGCGGGTTCGATCCCAGCTCTGTGCGCCAGTTTCTGGTAGAATCGGCAAGGAGGCCGGGCGGTTAAGCACAGCAGAATTGCAGCAGTGAGTTGCGAGTTCGAGACCGCAACAAGCTGTTAAGATGTTAAGAATCGGCGACAGGCCTACGGCCTACTAAACGCAGAAACCGCTATTATTATTATTTATTATATAAGTACCCAGCTACTAATAATATCCATAGATATGACTAAATGATTCGCAACAGCTTATGTACGTCACCAATCTTCACTTTACTTCCACTGGAACTGATATACTTAAGAAAGAATCTATTTCTCTAGCGAATCTTTCTAAAACTTCATTAAGCCAGTTCTCTGTAGCGAGCATCTTAACAAGAACAGCGAGAACAAGCATCTGTGTCCATGTGAGAACCTACGTTCGATATGCGCAGCTGGAATTTTGTAGGAATCATTTCGTTAATTCAAACGGATCCGACAACGAGAATGAAAAACTGATGTTAGAACAAGTCGCTCCTGTTACTCGCCAGACGTGACAAGAGTTTGAAGGGGACAATAAAAAGGAGACGTTACAGGAGTTTGAAGGGGCAATATAATACATATTCACGGCATTTCCTTTACACAAGTTTCAATACGCAGGTAATACGACACAATTACGATTTGAACTGATTCTTTGCATTGGCTATACAACATCGTGGCAACCGACAAGGTGACAAGGAACGGATGACCACCTAAAAAGCTGCTGCTTCAGTGGGGACTTACTATATAAAAAAGCAAGCGCAATGGAGAGAAATGAAATGCATTTTTAGATTTCAATGCTGTACTGCTGTTATAAAAAAGTGGGCCATTGAAGTTCAAGAAAGTAAACTTGACGGTTTACTCGTTATATTTTCTTGATGATTTGCACCACATCTTCATCCTCAAGTACGTGATCTTTCCCCACCTTCTGGGGCTGATGCTTCACGGAGTAGCCCCACACCAGAGCACTGCAATAAAATATATCGTAAAGTTATAACTACAATATAATAATAAACAGCACCTTCATTAACACATATATCATAAAGGTATAACTACTATATAATAATAACCAGCACCTTAATTAACACATATATCATAAAGGTATAACTACTATATAATAATAACCAGCACCTTAATTAACAAATATATCATAAAGGACCCACTATTTGAACTCCATGACCCACTATTTGAACTCCTTCATGACCCACTATAACTTCCATGACCCACTATTTGAACTCCATGACCCACTATGACCTCCATGACCCACTATTTGAACTCCATGACCCACTATTTGAACTCCTCCACGACCCACTATTTGAACTCCATGACCCACTATTTGAACTCATCCATGACCCACTATAACCTCCATGACCCACTATAACCTCCATGACCCACTATTTGAACTCCTTCATGATGCTCCTGTGGATCTTGTTGCAGAAGTCCTCGACGGTTCGCTTGTCGGCGTGCAGCACCACGGGCTCGTTGGGGTCCGGCACCTGCCCCTTCGGCTTTGTGAAGCTGCAACACAATAAAACAACTTAATGATGCTAATTAAATAAATGTGACTGTTTCTCATAAATAAATAAATGTAACTGTTTCCTAAATGAATAAATGTGACTGTTTTTCCTTTGTGAAGCTGCAATATAACATTAAAACCACTTAATGATGCTAATTAAATAAATGTGACTGTTTTTCATAAATAAATAAATGCATCTGTTTCCTGAATAAATAAATGTGACTGTTTTTCCTTCATGAAGCTGCAACACAACAATAAAACCACTTAATGATGCTAATTAAATTAATACGAATGTTTTCTAATTCATTTTAACATAATAGTTTAAAAATATTCAACCCAAAGTAATTCTAGTTAAAACAAGTCCTCTCCCCACGTCATTCAGCAGGACCGCATATTGAGTTCTCTTCGATTTTTTATTTCAATTACCTTTATCCGGGTGAAAATATTTATTATAGCCTGATGTGCAAGCCTTACATCCTGATGAGGTTCAGGTACTCCCACATCCCCAGCCTCACATCCTGATCAGGTTCAGGTACTCCCACATCCCCAGCCTCACATCCTGATGAGGTTCAGGTACTCCCACATCCCCAGCCTCACATCCTGATCAGGTTCAGGTACTCCCACATCCTCTCCAGCAGGTCATCAAAGTTCCACTTGTGGTGGGCGGAGATGGGGACGGTGTGGGGAATGCGGTAAATAATGTCCAGCTCCTCTATGCTGATCTGATCTGAAATATACAATGATTATAATATTTTGTGCATATACATTATGCAATGATTATTATGTTCTGTGCATACTATAAATTATACGATGATTATCATGTTTTGTGCATATACATTATGCAGTGATCATCATGTTCTGTGCATACTATAAATTATTCGATGATTATTATGTTCTGTGCATATACATTACACAATGATTATCATATCATATGGGAAAATACATTACACAATGACAACCTGGACCTATACTTTCAAAAAAAGTTAAGAGATCGTAAGTTCATCAGCCAATCATTGACGGCCTTATGGGCCTTTCAACCAAAATCCACCAGTCATAGACAAGAAAATAGAGCGTAAGTACTTACGTTCACTTAGCAAATTTTGAAAGCAAGGCCTCTGGAATCTTAAAAGTACCGTAGAAGGGTTACTGTATTCGAAGCACATAATAATTGATATTCTTTGCTGAACATTAATAGAATTTGCAAAATTAAATTGCAAGGTTAAATTATTCTAAGCTATCAAAGACGGCAATCCATTTTAGAAAAGTTGTTTGAACATTTTAAGGGCCATATTTCTAGTATTCTCCCTATCTTCTGAAGTGTTCAAGCAATTTAATGCACATCTCTCAAACTAGAATAAAATAAGTAAACAATTCACTTGGACTAAATGAACTAAAGGAACATGTAAGACATGCCTATCTTGTTGAGGATGTAGAGGCAAGGCACGTAGACTAAAGGAACATGCAAGACATGCCTATCTTGTTGAGGATGTAGAGGCAAGGCACGTAGACGCGGTTGCCCTCAATGACATCGATGAGGTCGTCAGCAGTGGCATCGTAGCGCAGAATAACATCCGCATTGTGGATCTTGTATTCGGCACAAATTGTCTGAACACAACACAATTATTACACATCAGTATTATTACATATTAGCTTTTAATAGCTAAAACACCATTTATGTTAAGAGTAGAAGCACTCATTGAAAACAAATTTCAGAAAAAAATTGAAGTTGTGCACCTACCTATCCAGTAATTCAAGCTATTAGGCTTACAAAATATATCGTTCTACAGAATTCCTTGATCAGAACAAATTATCTATACTCCAGTGCAGCATCTTTTTACTTGTGTAATCACATTTTTTTGCGCTTTTAACTCAAACAAATCAATCCAAATTAGATGTAAAGTATTGTGCTCTTGCTACACCACCACAATCAGTTTAAAATTTTCATAGGTCCATTAAAAGCAATTAATTCCTAATGTCAAAATGAAACATCAAATAAATTTATGTCATATAATTCATGAAATTTTGTGACAAACTCAAAACTGACCTTGACAAGTTCGGTGTCGAGTTCAGACTGAGCAACAACAGCGTTGAGGTTCACGCCTCCTTTCTCTTTTCTTCTGAAGGTGATGTCAGGAGGGCTCTGTCAGAGGTCAATTTATTGTAACTTTGGACATTACTACATAAAGCTCCTAACAAATAAACATGCAAACAAAATTAATCAATACTCACTGCACTGAGTGACAGAGAGTGCATTTTCTGGTCGATGAAAACGTGAAGTCACGGACAGACACACGGACATGACGAGCACAATAGGGCATTTTTTCCATAAATGAGAAAATGCGCAAAAAATGCCACATGCAATTGCATTTTGTCGTGCATAAATCAGTTTTCATTGCGATTAGTACAGTGCATTAGAGCTAGAGATGTCGTATCTTTGATGCAGGCATGCCCGCTTCTTAAAATCGACGAAAACATTAAGTCACGGACGGACAGACAGAGACAAGCGGACAGACAGAGACAGACGGACATGGCAAGCACAATAGTGCATTTTTTCTATAAAGAGAAATGCGCTAACAAATAGGTAAAGAGTAGAACCTTGTTGAGTCGCATGCCAAAACCTTCCAGTTCATGTTCAATGAGCCGCTTGTGCTGCAGGGGCTTGAGCACGTCCAGGACAATGAAGATGAGGGAACAAGTGCGGGCCACGGCAATAACCTGCTTGCCTCTACCCTTGCCATCTTTAGCACCCTCGATGATGCCAGGGAGATCCAGCAGCTGCACAATAGAAGTGACATTCAGTTCTAAATGGTGCAAAGATCATACAATTTGCCATCTTTAGCGCCCTCGATGATGCCAGGAAGATCCAAGAGCTGCACAGTAGGGGTGGCATTTTAATACAGATTAGTAGTGGTGGACACAGAGGAAATTTATTATGCAGTGCACTATATGAAAGAAATTAACTTTGTCTTCATACTCTAAAGAGAAATGAAATTAAAACTCAGATGAACAAAATGTTCTAAAATCTACTTGCTAACTTCAATTGTTCACATTTTAGGTGTATATATATTTTAGAATACACCAAGGTACCTATTCACTGTAGCTAATAGTTCAACTAATTACAAGTGAGAGTCAAAAAAAATTATACTTGGAATAAAAACCAAATAAATAAATAACTTATTGGAAGAAAATAATACGCACTTTTTATGTTTCAAGTAACACAATTAGTAATAAATGCTTCCTGCATCACAGTTCTGGTGTAGATAATACACAAGTACTTAATAATATTGCATTATTTGTTGGACAATAAATTCAAGTCAAAGTTCAGTCCAGCCTGCATATTTACCTGTATTTTGGCCCCCTTGAACTTGATGCTGCCAGGCACAGTAGTAAGAGTTGTAAACTCATAAGCAGCAACTTCAGAGTAAACCCCAGCCAGGTTACTCAACAGAGTAGACTTCCCAACTGAAGGGAATCCTGAAAAAGGGAGCAAAAAACAAGAATGCAAATTATTTTTCACCAAAGACATTACCTACACAATAACAGTTTGGCTGAAATTCTAAACTTCACTTTAGGAAAGTTCAGAAAGTTCCCATAGGAAAGTTTTTTAGAGATTAATTCTAATACATAAGCATAATCTTAAAGCATAACCAGTTTTCTCTATCAAGTTGAGATTGAAATTAAGGTTAAGCCACAAAATGGCATGTAATAAATGAAAAATTTTATTGACATGCAAATCTTACAGACTACAAAAGCATTGTCAATGCTCCCTGAAAGTGATATTTTAATAAAATAACTTCTGAGACTATAGACCTGCCCATACTTTATTTGGTAAAGATTATAATTTTTGTAGTTTGATACCTGCAGGAAATCTTACCCACAAAACCAATTCTTGCATCACCAGTCTTGGCAACATCAAAACCTTCCCCAGCAACAGCCCCACCTCCCTTGGGGGTAATGAGCTCCCGCTTGAGCTTGGCTAGTTTAGCCTTCAACAGACCCAGATGAGCACTCGTGGCCTTGTTCTTCTGGGTCCTGTTCATCTGTAAATAATGCAGATTTGGAGAAAAATTCACATTTTATGCATTGCAAGCCAGTTTTTTTATTAATATAATATAAAAAATATGTTTGAAGGAATTAAAAATCCCAATTCAAGTATAAATATTCAAGAATAGGAGCTTTTGTCTTGTCCAATTTGATAAAAAAAATGTCTTGAAACATTTACAAGATGTACTTGTAAATGTTCTTGTAAATAAGATGTACTTAAAATTTTACACAAAAGAAACACAGTAGCAATGAAAATCGTGATATCTCAAGGTACGGTAGTCTTTATGTAATTTCAAAAAAAGTGATGGTCTTTGTTACCCCAGCTCTTGGGCCTTGGGGTAACTTAGACCGGGTGGTAAAATCAATTATATTTTTTGGTAAAATAACTCCAGGTTTTGGTGCATTGTAGTAGAACTCTTCTAGTTACATATGCAAATGACAAACTTGAGGAAAGTGTCATAGTTTGCAAATGGGGGGCGCCACCCCATAATGAGGAAAATGTGACTACCTAATGGCAGCCCTGATGGGGTAATATTGACTGGCTTGGAAATTAAGTTAAAATTGCCATATATAAGACTCTGTAGAGTCTGAAACATAAAGTTGACAAAATTTTTCTATGTCAAATCCTTTTTGAGTTGTGGGGGTTTTTGCTAAAAAAACGAAAAGTGGTCTAAGTTACCCCGCCGGTCTAAGTTACCCCATTTAACGGTATGAGAGGCAGGACCCAGCAATTTATGGTGAGTGAAGCTAGAGTATAGACCTGTATTTTTGCACGTTTCAATTCAAGTTTAATTTAGCTAGTAAAAAAAATGGCATCATTTATAAAAAAAAGTGGTCTAAGTTACCCCATTTTACGGTATTAAAAAATTTTACTTACATAAAAGTTGCACACAAGTGTTGGCTTGAAAGTGCAATAATTTACGCAATTGATGGAATTTGCCTATCTCATTTAAAAAAAGGGGCAGCCATTTCCGTGCGACGGGGTAATAAGGGAGTAAAGGGACACCCCCCTTGGGCTTGGGGTAGTAATAAGGGACCCCATGAAAAATGCATATACAATACTAGAACATTGGTTAGCAAAGGCTCCAGTTAACAAAAAAAAAATGATTAATAACAAAGAATTTTGATTACATTTACCTTGCTCAGTGATAAAAATTTCACTTATCAAAAAATTAGTGTAGGGTAAACGCGGTATATTCCGACATCGTAGGTAATTCCGTCACTTCTCTAGTTTTTTCTTTATATTATGCTTTGTTTTAGTTCCATGCGTTCATTGATGGTTGAAATGGTGACGTCATACATTTGCGTGTCGAAACACTTCAAAAACACTAGGTCTTGGCCATCTAGCGGGAAAATATTGAGATCCAAAGAGAGACAATGCATGCCACGTGGTGAGATCATCGAAAAATGTGTCAAATTTGACAGTTGACATGGCTCTACCAAATAGTGAATAACTGTTTTTATAGGAAGAATATTATGAATTGAGACTTTTAAATACGTCTGTGAATATATTGGGAATCCTTTAAGTATACTTGTATTCGCTGATTTCAAGTCGTAAATAAATTAATAGATGATTAAGTTGAGATGTTGGATTTCGACACATGAAAACTAATTCCGACACAACTTGAATTGGACACACACAGATCGTTCAAAGCTTTGTACAAAAATTGAAATTTGCTTAATTAAAAGCCTAATAGCTGTTAATTAAAACGTAATTAAGTAGTGTTCAATATTCGTTAGTGTTCTAATTCAAAGCCGTGTTGTATCCCAATACAGCTCACACAGCAAACGGAATTCGAACACGTGGATGTCGGCAATTCGGATCAGTTAAATACTTAAATTGAAGCGCTGACGCAATACGACTCACCACGTGTTGGATGTTGCCACACAAAGTGACGGAATATAGGGATTTTGTAGGTTTCCATTCTAAAGGCTTTTTAATAAATATGGCAACATATGGCGCATAGTGGCAAAGCAGAGAGTTTTTTAGACTCTCCCTCAAGTTCATTTTTGAGCCCTATAAGTAGACCAGTAAAGTATCCTGGATACCAGTATTATCATACTTAAGAAATTAGTTAAAATTGGGAGTAAATGAGGAAATTAAAAATGAACTGATTCTAAAAAAAGCTCTGGTTTGCCACTATGCGGACGCGTAGTGAAGTGTTTTGAGAGTCATGTGAAGGCAACAGAACTTACGTAACGCATACGGTTTTTTTTTATAGTTTTTCATTTTTCGATGCGTCCTTAAAGTGTCGGAATATACCGCGTTTACCCTATCATCAGACATCGGTCATCACAAACATAGAATTTGGTCATCACAAACATAGAATTAAGAATGTCATAGTATCATACTTACAGTCATAGTAGGCTATATAGAATTGTGCACTGATGCATCATAGAATGAAAAGTAATTAACCTAAACTATGATTTATTTCTCCAAAGTCCAAAACATATGATGGTTGTCAATAAAACATTCCTTTCTATTTCAGGATGCAGAATAATGCAGTACAGTATCCTGGGGACCTGGATACCTGCATTATCATGAACAAATTTTTTTTCATACCTACATAAGAAATTGGTTTAAATCGTGAGTAATTGAGGAAATTAAAAATGAACTGATTCTAAAAAATCCGTAGTATCTAAGTATGTCACTATGCTTGAAGTCACAAGTCTGAACTCTGAAGTTCAACTGTTCAAGTCAATAACTGATGTGCTACTCACTACTCAGGCTAGTGCTAGAAGCTTAAAACTTTACATAAGAAACAAACATATATTGATGATATATAAATATATATACATAAACTGATGAGTGATGAACATACCTCAGCTTCGATATCAGCAATTTTTTGTATGATACTCATTTTGCCAAAATAATTTCTTTCGAACTTTCCAAGTAATATATAACAATATTTTCGAAGTTTTTGCAACTTGTAGAGAAGTAATTGAGAAGTTTAACCGTGAAGAGAGCGCAACTTCCACGAGCAAGAGGCAGAGACGGCAGCGACTAAAAGAGGTCGAATCTGAATCTCGGAGCTTACAAGGACTCAGGTGCAAATCCAATCAATATATGAAACATCGAGAATGTAAATTTATGTACATTTCGAAATAGTTTATTTTTTCTTCATTTTTACAGAAATGCCTGAATAAATTCGAATAGGAGATGTCTAACTTTTTGGCAGTTTATGGCGCCAGAGCGCAGAAATTTTCTTGGCTTATTGAAACGCAAGCTAATAAATCCAATCTATTTCTGGGACTGACAGATGCATAGTTGAGATATATAAGGTTGACCCACGAAAAGTTCCGTCTTTCATTTCAGCTTTCTGGTTACGTCACGTAGATCGAGAAACGTAAACAAACCCGTCATTCCATGACGGATTGGTTGACTTGTTTGATCGCATTTCGGTGATTGGTTAATGCCCGTGACGTCACTGAGATCAGTGACATAACAGGCGAATAACAAACTACATACGCAAAAATGTGCTTCTGATGGGTCAACCCTATACCAATTCAACTATGGACAGATGCTCCCACGAGTTCCTAGATGCAAAAACGATAAAACTTGTTCGTTCCTATCGTGCGCCCGCAACTAGAGTTTTTAAACGCAGCGTCTTCACCGAAACTTTATATGACAAAAACTTGCTAGAGAGCGTTCAAAGGCGTGCAACTAGGATGAGTCCAGACTTGAAGGGACAGCCCCTAGGGACAGCCCGCCCCTAGGGACAGCCCCTTAAACAGCCCCTAGACGCTCAATATTTTTTCGCGACATTTTGGTTTGCGCAATATTATTGAGCTTCTAGGGGCGATATTGACGAGTTGTGCAATATATTGCGTGATTTTCAGAATCTTGAAAATACATTGAGCAAACTGGAAGATATTGTGTCATCCAGAGGCTATATTGTGCATTGTACAATATAATGTCAGTGCGTCTCCAATGATCGTACGGCGCGGTGTAGCGCATATCTACGCGTGATCTTAGCCGCGTGTTTTTATCATGGCGGATGTTAAGTAAAATGACCAGGAATTTATTCTGGAATTCATCAAGGTATATCTTTTTTCAGTCATTCTCAATTCATTAAGTCATTTTTCGTGAAAGAATTTCGTTCTGTTAATAAACCACTATTTCGATTATTTCCTATCTTTTTGCGAGCCTTTCATTGTAATTTTTTACGACTTACTGACACAGCAATTATTACGCAGCACAAGTCATTATCACTCAACATGTTAGCTACAAGAAAGTCTGGGTTGGGACTGTTTGCGCAATATTGTTGCACTTCTGGAGACGTAATGGCACAATATATTGCACAACCCATTATTATGGCCTCTACGGGCTCAGTAAAATTGCGCCACCCAAATATTGCGCATAAATATTGAACGTCTAGGAACAGCTTGGAAGAAAGATTATAGACTATAGAGCTTCCAAGCCTCTGTCATCGACTTCTGCGTGGTGACCTTATTGAAGTATACAAGTACACTCGTGGTTTATACGAGGTCCCAGCAGGATTACTAGAATCTGAAACAAGAACCAACACCAGGGGCTACAGCTATAAACTAAAAAAACTGCGTAGCATCTCATCCACGCGAAAACATTTCTCCTCACTTCGCGTCACCAACGTGAAACATCCTCTCTAATTAGCCCTATACCGCCTGATACACAAAGTCATGAAGAAATAATTTTTATTCAATTGTTTTCGTGTCTTTTGCGTGGCAATAGCACCTTATCTATACCATTTTTCAATTCCATTTTTTTTAATTTCAATATAATCGGTTAAGATTTGACTATTTTAAAAATAATAATAATAATAATAATAATAATAATAAAATAATAATAATAATAATAGTAATAATAATAATAATATTGATTGATTGTTGATTGATTTTTATTCACAAAGGAGCTCTAGTTACAATTCAAAAGAGAAAAAGAAAAACATTTACAAAATAATAGAGACATCCAAGTGAATGCCCATAAGCAGATAAGCTTCGCAGGCAACAGAGGTGATTTAAAACTCTATTCCAATGATAAGTCAAAGAAGTTAAGAGCAACAGAAAGTTTCTAAATTAAACACATACAAGGAAAAAAAACCTCAAGAAAACTGATAACAGTAACAAAGCAATATCAATATAACAGTGATTAAAGATGGTAAAAACTTGAAATATAGAGTCATAAATATTCAGAACCTGCATGACAAACGAAGTCAAATTAATACTGGTCAAGAATAAATTTACGGAATTTCGTTTTTAAAAGTAATTTGGAACAATCGTTTTTAAAATCTTCATGCAATTCATTAAAATATTTGACGCAGTTAAAAACAGTACCGCTTTTTTCTACTTCCAGACGAACCGCTGGCAAGTTAAATCGTACGCCCCTGGTATTATGGGAATGTTGAGGGACGAGAGAGGCGAAGGCGGACTCAAATAATAATAATAATAATAATAATAATAATAGCGGTTTCAGCGTTTATTAGGCCGTAGGCCTGTCGCAGATTCTTAATTAAGGGGAGCGTCTGGCCAAAATTGTATCTCTGCTATTTACAGACGAATCACTTTGAAATTTGTTACACATGTATAAAACCGAAAAATAGACAGCTTTTATTCATGTAAATTTTTCGAAAAAATGAAAGAAAACTTGAAATTCATATAAAACGGCCGAAAAAGGGGGTACTGTAGAAATCTATCTTCTCCTAGGATTTTCAAGCTACAACTTTGAGACGCATATCATTCGATGCGTAAAGACCATATCTATCGGTTTATCATTGTTTTTTTTTTTTAATTCGAATTTTTGTGGGTGGGGGAGCATTTCTCATAAAATTTTCGAAAATTTTTTGATTTCCCCCGATTTCCGCCCCTTTTTTCAGAATATTTTCAAAACTATAACAAAAATGAAAAAAAGCAACAATAAATCGACAGATCTCTTGTTTGCGAATCGAACGGTATATCTCTCATTGCTGATTGCTGTAGCTCAAAAACTCTAGGATTAGATAGGTTTGCAGTGACAATAAGTTAATTGTTCAGTAGAGCTCGACAAAGTCCCGGGCGCCACGAAATAAGCGTTCAAGGTGGCAAGAATGCAAGACTAGGCGATACTGGAGCTCAATTCCTTTCAAGGATGGTGTGAACGACGACACGCCAACCCTACCGTACAACTGCAGGCGGATAACTGAAGCACATCATATTTGGACTAGCTATTTAAATGTGCTACCGGTAATTTCCGCCTATCTTAAATGTGAGAGAACTCCACCACCCCACCCTTTCGCGATCTGTCGTGAAAGCATAAATCAACGTACAGAGATGATTTTGGTTCCGTTGGATAGAGCAGAATGTCATCTTTAAGATGAGACTAAAAACCGGAAAAGTCAAAATTCAAAAATTGTGGCCAGACGCTCCCCTTCACATCGCAGAACATTCACGCTTGTTGCGGTCTCGAACTCGCAACTCACTGCTACAACTCTGCTTTGCTTAACCGCCCGGCCTCCTCGCCGATTCTGACCAGAAACTGGCGCACAGAGCTGGGATCGAACCCGCGCTACTCTGCGTCTATCATTGTACTCTGAACTTTAACCACCCTGTGGTTAAAAAACGTGGGAACGTAGGAACGTACCTAAAAGTTATCGTTTTGCGTACTAATTTCAGAAATGAACGGAAAAATTCCGATAACGCTGGCGGTAGCTTGTTGTTAAATATAAATCTATGTGTCTGATTAAAATAAAATTAGTTCTAATTTGATATTTCAAGCGTGAAAAGGTTGAAAAATATTGGCATTTAGAATTTTAATTAAAAAAAAGAACGTAAAAAATTCATGCTACGCTAACAAATGTGTATTATTATTAAAAAGTAATTTTTTAATTAGAATCTAATCGGTTAAGATTCAACAATTTGATACACGAATAGATAGCCAAAAACTGGCATTTGGCGTGCCAATTTGATACAATGTGGTTGATAAAATTCTGACCACGCTCACATGAGCATAATGTTGATAGAAAGCTATGCTAATAATTAGAACCTAATCGGTTAAATCTGACAATTTTATGCGCGAAAAGGTTGCTAGTATCAGCTATTAGCATTAGAGTGAAGAAATTTTCGGCTAAAATCCAGAACAAACTCGACCATTAGTGTCGATGCGGTGGTTCGGGGTATCTTTCGATTCTTTTTAGGGAAATAAATACTCGAATTGTGACCAAGTTTCAATTTTTCGCGTCAATTCTTGCTCGCGCGTGGAAGTGAGTGACTAAGAGTGAGGTGTGGGTGATTGTCTATCTATGCGCTGATGTTCACCAATCACTACCAAATGTTCGCCAATCACCACTAATATTGATCCAGTTGCCCTATTTCAGTGAGTCTGATCATGATGTGTCATTGATGTAGAAAAAAACCGTACTCAATCTCTTATTTTTCACGAGCAGAATGTCTTTTGATTCTACATTTGTAACTGAGGTAAGATAGTAATTTGGTCGAAAACTCATAATTTAAAAAATATTAGCTACCTAAATATAATGTGAAATTTAATTACATATTTTTAGATCCACTACTATGGTCTATGAGTTATGACTATATCATACATGATACATGTGCATAAAAATTACTACCGTCAATGCCACTAAAGTCGCCAGTCGCCACCTCACTAAAGTCGCCATGCTGCAGGGAAAAGATAATATTTATTAAAATCGACCCAATACGAACATTTCGTTATCATAGGAAAATACTAGAACATTTATTAATATTGCCTAAAGATAGTAGAATGCATTTTCGACAATTGATTTGTTATTAGTTTTAAGATTTCAAATCAACATGACAAAAATTCATTGAGCGAAACGAATTTTTTCATTCTGCTTGATGAACTGCGTTTGGGCATAGTGGCAAAGCAGAGAGTTTTTTAGACTCTCCCTCAAGTTCATTTTTGAGTCCTATAAGTAGACCAGTAAAGTATCCTGGATACCAGCATCATCATACATAAGAAATTGGTTTGCATCTTGGGTAAATGAGGAAATTAAAAATGAACTGATTCTAAAAACTCTCTGGTTTGTCACTATGCGTTTGGGCGATACTTTATTTCCGCGAAAATGTTTTCCCTTCGAAGTTTGGGTCATACCGAGGTGAAACGCAGTAAACAGAGGTTCGTTTTGCTTGTACTCCCTGATTTTAATGATATGGACATTTATTTATAATCTATCCTAAACATAACTGGCGACTTATGTGTTTATAATTTTGGGAGAAATGGCGAAGTTTGTGATGGTTATTTGCTTTAAGAGCCAGGATTTGAAGATAAATGTTTATTACTTTTTAATACCTAGCTATAACGCAATAATTGTGTCTAAGTTAGGTCTTAGATACTGTAAGAAGCATTCATTGCCCATATTTATTCTCAGATTAATAGCAATTAGACTTTTAAAAGCTTATAAAACTACTTCAAAAGTTGAGCACGATACTCTTGCAACGATTGGAGTTGCGCGAACAAAGGGTCAAGCATAGAGCTGCTGCTCTGAGTACATTTGAATAGGCAAGACCGGAGTTGTCTTTCTACTAAATAAGCTTAATAAGGCTAACTACTCAGAGAAATCTCTTATAATAATACTTGATGTGTATTTCAGGAGGATAAACGTATTCGAAAAGATAAAGCACATTCCGTATGAAATTATATTATGTGTTATGTAATTACAATATTTGCATTTGTTCAAGTACGCATGTTAATATAATTATTTTGTATCATTAAAGATGACATCGAGGAAAGGAGCAAAGTTAAGATTATGGAGGCAGGAGGACATGGATAGGGCTCTTGCCGCCTGCAGAGTTGAGAATCTTCCTGCGTCAGCCGCGGCCCGTACGTTCAATGTGCCACGCAAGACACTCGCAGATCGCCTCTCGATGAGAGTCAAGGAAGACTGTGCACCAGGCAAACCGACCGCGCTGTCGGCAGAGCATGAGCTGTCGCTCTGCAATTACATTGAATATATGGCCAATAGAGGTTTTCCTTTGACAGTGACTCAAATTTTAATGTATGCCTGGTGCATTGATCGCAGGTCTGGGAGACACATATTTGGAGAGAGAGGACCTTGCTACGGATGGTGGCTGAAATTTCGTTCCAGACACCCTGAGGCAGTCAAACTTCGGAGACCCGAATGCCTGGATTGCGGTCGAGCAATTTTTTCAACTATAGGAAATTTAAGAAATTATTTCCAGTTACTGCGAAGGGTCCTCGAACGCGATAACTTCAGTGAACGGCCCCAAGACATCTACAACTGCGATGAAACGGTCGTGGATCTCAACAAATCCTCGCAAAAGGTTGTAGTGCCTCGACGAATGAAGAATTCTCATTCTCGACAAGTGGCATCAAGTGAACACATAAGTATTCACTGCTGCGTTTCAGCATCCGGCGTAGCAATGCCTCCAATGATCATTTTTAAAGCAGCGTTTCCAGGAGGCAACTATGCTGCTGGTGGCCCCGACGGAGCTTTGTACGGCAAACAAGCCACTGGCTTCATGGATTCCAAACTTTTCTTCCGGTGGTTCACCCAGATATTCTTGTTATTCGCTAAGCCATCAGCAGATAAACCAGTTCTCTTGCTGCTTGATAGCCATGCCTCCCACTGTTCTGCATCAGTTATTGACTGTGCCAGGCAAAACAATGTGATATTGTTAGCGTTAATGCCTCACATCACCCATCTCTGTCAGCCATTAGACGTTGCTGTCTATAAGTCATTCAAAGTTGCTCTCTCAAAGCTCGTAAAACTTGGGCAAGCCGTGCGAGGGAACTTGTGGATTGCAAAGAAGAATGTTCCGCGTATTATAAAGAGTGCTTTGGAAAATTCAATGACGGCTTCAAATATCAAATCTGGATTCAGAAAGTGCGGGATTCATCCCTTCAACCCGAACGCAATTGACAAGTCCCAACTTTGCAGAAACCAATTGATCCCCAGAACAGACGTTGACTTATCAATCATGCCAGAGAATTCTCCAAGTCAGTGTCAGCTTATGGATGAACCAACTCAACCAAGCACTTCAAATTTTGCTCCCAACTTGGACGACGCTGCTTTGATTTCCAGCAATAGGACGTCTGTGAACACCAGAGCTTTGAAGCCAACTGAGAGACTGGATTGCAACATGAACCGAGTAGTGGTCATTACTATTTCAGACGAATGTGGGCCGGTTGGGGAATCTGAAATTGAAATCATTGCACCAGAGTCTCCTGCAGCAGAGCTTCAATCGCCAAACGAAAATCCTCTTGTGGCGAGCGGTATAATTTCTTCAGATTTGGCAAGTATCTTCTTTCCTGTTGAAGAAGAAATTCTCTCTGGACGTCGCCGCCCGTTGCGAATTTCTTCTAAAGCGCGAGTCATGACTTCAGATGAAGTGCGTGCAGACCTTGAGTCACAAACAAAAGCAATAAAAAATAAAGGACAAAAGACAGCTCCTCGCAAGACCATCAGGCAAGAAAAGAAAGACGATGTCATCCCCTCAATGTCTCGAAACAAGCGTCCCAGGCAATCCAGTGAGGACGATTTTGCTCTGGAAGACAGCATCTGCTTGATTTGTGGACGCGATTGGGCTGCTGATCGGGTGCCCATCCAGGCAATGTGGGTTGGCTGTGAAACGCAAGGTTGTCCTCATTGGACTTGTCCGCGATGTCTTCATAATAACTTTGATTACACAGCCGATTTTTATTGTCGAAACTGCGAACAAATTTAATTTTTTAGTTTACTAAATCGGCATTCGTACGATATTACGTAATTTTTGCGCGATATTTTAGTAACAATCTTTTCTATTTAGTGTAAAAAATGACTATATATTTCCGAATTTTATTTGTTTCCTATTGTATACCACTTCATGCTCAAAGAAAACGTCTGAGAATGTAACAGTTTCGTAAACATGTAAAATCCAAGTGTTAGTATCTAAAGACTTTGTTTTAGTTTATTTCTATATCTTTATCTAAATTTCGTTAGTTGGTTTTACATTGACCAATTGTTTTTTTGTTACGCATAGTCCTATTCTTACTTTGATATTTCTTCTTCTTTTTTCATGCCCGTAGTAAAATCAAATATGTATACATATATGGAAATAAATATTACAATGCTTTCACCTCGACATATTTCAGTATCAATGGCGGGGGCTATATCGGTATTTGTGACGGTCGATATAGTAATAGGTATATTGCGGTTTCAGCGTTCACTGCATGGGCTATTAGACATGTCACAGATTTGTAACATCACAGAATTTTCACAGCATTTTAATGTCTCGAACACGCAACTCACTGCCCTAATTTTGATATACGCTTAACCGCCCTGCTCCTCTGCCGCTCGTCGCCGATTTGACAACTGTAGCAGGTAGCCAAGATCGAACCCTCATCTTACTGCTCCTGTAACTACTACGGTAGGTCACCTTGCCCTTGGATTTTGAAGAATTTGCATTGAGAAGGGGAAACTTCACGGCTGTTATTTATTTCTTACAATATTTACAGTGTCTGACGGAGGACTCAACGTACACCAGCATTTCAGCGGTCGAGTTCTTTTATGTGTGGTGCAGTGCGCTGTTTTGGCCGTTGAGTTAGAAATAGGGTCGGGAATTATATTTTTAGGTTTGAGGAAATTTTTCACGCTGCATTCAAGGAAATTTGTGAATTCTGTTCAGATTACTGACTAGTGTGCCACACTACTATGTAACAGACGAATTTTTTATACGGAACCGCCTATCCCTGAAGTGCGTTTTTTCGATTAATTGAAATCGAGGCGGATAAATGCGCGAATGAACAGCCCTCCCAACATCAATATTCGATGCAGTGAAACGAGTTTCTTTTTACGAATTTAAGATTAGTTCGAATCCTCTTACTTATTATAGACAGGAAAAAAATTTATTCATTGAGGTTGCATTTATTTTCGTACAAAAACAATATTTAAAGCATTTATTTATTAATTTTTTAAACAAAGACCGAAGTTCAAGGGTTGGTTTTGCCTAAATTTAAGGCTTTCTCTACTGTACCTCACGCAGGCGCTATTCACGAAAAGACTGTAATAACCTCGCCAGGCTATGGCGACTTTAGTGTACCCTTCGTCAGTATCGCTGGCGACTTTAAAGCAGGTACTATATACCTCGCCACTCCCGACGGGGCTCAGAAACTTCCATTTTATTATATGATCGAGCAATAAAAAAACCTCGTGACTTTTTTTCTCGAAAGTCTAAACATTAGTCAACCCTGTACAAGTGTTACATTTTACATTTAATTTTTAGCTGATTGGTGTTTCAAAATCCAATATATTCTATTGCGTTTCCCGAAAGTGGCGACTTATGTGGCATTGACAGTAGATTGCTTAAGTTGCAACTCGCAAGTTTACCAGGAATTTAAAGCAAAGAAAACTGCCAGAATATTAACCATTTCTTAAGAATGAAAACGTTTTGGAGTCCAGCTCCATCGTCAGTTCAAAAGTTCAAATTTTACAGACAAATTGACAGCTTGGGCATGGGTCTACCACCAGGTCCTACTTTTGCAGTTTTGCTTATAGGCCTACCTAGTACTAGGCTAGTACCTACCTATTTTTATGTGTTTTCTTGAGACTAAATGGCTGGCCAATTGTCCTCTTGATTTTAAACCTGTTTTTTTTAACTGATATGTTGATGATACTTTTTTTACTGTTCAAGCATCCTTCTCATGTGACCCTTTTCTTTGATTAGGCTACCTAGGTATCTTAACCTCCAACATCAGTCAATAAAATTCACTATGACACCATGGAGCTTGAAAAGTTGAAACCAACAATAGTTTATCATTTCTTGATTGTACCTAATGTTACAAAATATAATGGGTGTTTCCAGACCTCTGTGTTCAGAAAGTCAACGTTTACCGCCATTACCGGTTTAAGCACCAGCTTTTTTAGGTTTTGCTCATTTCATTTAAAATTAAATGGGATTAAAACATTATTAAATCGTGGCTTCCATATTTGTTTCCATCGCAACTGATTTATACCATAAATTGGGATAACTTTGAGTCTTTGACCACTTTTTTTATTCAAAATGATGCCATTTTTTACTAGATAAGTTAAACTTAAATTGAAACGTGCAAAATACAGGTCTATACTCTAGCTTTACTCTCCATAAATTGCTGGCAATTGCCTCTCATAGTTTTGATGTAATTTCAAAAAATGTGATGGTCTTTGTTACCCCAGCTCTTGGGGTTTCTTTGACGGGGTGATAAAATAAATTTTATTTTTTGGTAAAATAACTCCAGGTTGTGGTGCATTGCAGTTAATGTAGTAGAACTCTTCTAGTTACATATGCAAAAGACAAATTTTAGGAAAGTGTCATAGTTTGCAAATGGAGGTCACCACCCCCCAATGGGCGAAATGTGACCACCTAATGGCAGCCTTGATGGGTTAACATTGACTGGTTTGGAAATTAAGTTAAAATTACCATATATAAGACTCTGTAGAGTCTGAAACATAAAGAAAAAAACATTAATAGGTGTATCAAACATAAAATATGTTATATAGGTACCTATGGTAATTTAACTTAATTTCCAAGCCGGTCAATGTTACCCCGTCACGGCTGCCATTAGGTGGTCAAAGTTCCCCCATTGGGGGCGGCGCCCCCCATTTGCAAACTATGACACTTTCCTAAAATTTGTCTTTTGCATATGTAACTAGAAGAGTTCTACTACAATGCATCAAAACCTGGAGTTATTTTACCAAAAAATAAAAAAAATTGGAGGGGGTACTCCAATAGGCTTTGAATAATAGCTCTTTTTTGTGGGTCACATTATTAATTTTTTAATCTACAGTATTAGATATGCAAACTTTTTAAATCTTTCTATTGTGTTACATAGCCTCAGCATTAGGCCTTTGATGGCCATTGACAAAATTTTCCTATGTCAAATCGTTTTTGAGTTTTGGGGGTTTTTGTTAAAAAAAACGAAAAGTGGTCAAAGTTACCCCGCCGGTCAAAGTAACCCCATTTTACGGTACTCAAATTAACAAATTCATGTCAAGGCAATATAATGAAGTTGTTCCTGATTGTGACAGTAGGAACCTGATTTATTGATCTTTTCCCTACTTCGGTAAAGCATCTGAGACTATGGCTAGGGAATTGAAAGATTTGATCAATAAATATCTTCCAAATGTAAATCTGCAGGTGCTATTGGTGAATAACTTCAAAATCGGTTAATTCTTCAAGTATAAAGATGCTCTCCCTCTTTTTATGTGTTTGTCCCTAGTATATAGATACTGTTGTGTGCAGTGCGCATCAGCGTACATTGGTATGACATCTCGCAATTTTTACACTAGGCTGGCGGAGCATAAGGGCAGAAGCTTTAGAACGGGAACAATACTTGCGCATCCTCCTCATTCAGCTGTGCACGTCCATGCCAAGCAGTGCAATGTTCCGGTGTCTGATAGTGATTTCAGAGTTCTAGCTTACACGACCGGTGTTACTGACCTACGGATTTTAGAATCCCTGTACATTTTTAAACAGAAACCTGGTTTAAATGCAGCCTTTAGCTCCAATCCCCTTGAAATGGTAAATAGATAGGCCTGTCTCCTTATGTGTATTTGTTTTTGTCAATTTATGTTTTTATCTTCTATGTGAATTTAGTTTTCTAATTGATTCTGATTTTCTTATAGGTTTTCATCTTTTGAACTGACGATGGAGCTGGACTCCAAAACGTTTTCATTCTTAAGAAATGGTTAATATTCTGGCTATTTTCTTTGCTTTTAAATTCATGATACATGTGATGTCAGATGTGCACATGTTCATATATTATCCCTCCAATAAATGAATAAATTATTTATTTGTATGTTTATTTTTTATATTTTTTATACTAGGGCTACTAGGTATTTCTATTATTTCTTTTTGTTGCTCAGGTTAGTAAAATTTAAGACTGCAAATTTAAAATATTTGAGTAGGTATCTGTAAAGCCTGATGTTTCTCATTGCTTTGTATAAATATTAATAGCGAGAAATTTTGCCATACCTACCCAGGTATCTCTTTTAATGGAGGTGATATAGATGTACCTACCTAGTACCTATTGATTATGATTTTTTATTGGCACTAATTTGATCTCAATGTTCAGATCTTGCGATGGAGATATGCAGCTGCCCTGGCATCGGTTCTTCTTGTCCAAGTTGTTCTACCTTCTTTCGCATGTGGCATTTTCAAGACTTTTTTTGTGCTACAGGTTTGTTCAAAATCTAATCTTAAAAATCTAGTAATACTAATCTAAACAATTTTACTCAAATTCAGTCCCATGTTGCATATTTTTCTGGTAATGATTGGTAAAATTGCTTCTTTAATAGACAATTTCCAAGAATTGTGTGGTGATAGTTGAAGCAGGTGTATTGATACTGCTTGTCCAAACTATAAAATTGGTTAAAATTCAATTATGAACAATTAACAAGACAGAAATGCCCATTCTCAAGCCAATATGGAATATTAGACAGAATTTTCCTAAAATTGCATTTAAAAATATTGTTTCTCAGTTGATTTTCATAAATTGCCTGTAAAAAAATGGGCTATAGCCTAATTCATATTATTTAGGTACTGAAGAAATTATGAATGACTGCACTATGGGCTAGTGTTGAAAACATCTACCTTTTGTGCTGCAACTTGGTGTTTCCTGCTATTTTTGGAACTGCGAGATTCCTGCTGAAAAAAATACCTTCTATCTAATTGTAAACTAAAGTACACAATCTGACTGCAAGATTACAAATGTATAAAAACATCACTTTTAAGCTGCAAAAGTTCATTCAGAAATTAGGAAAATTCAAATCTAGCAGAGGAGTGAAACTGACCAGAATTATGGTGTTTTTGTCAGACTAACCTGTGGCTTTTGTACAATTTTCTGTTTCATCCATTTCTATTGTCCTTGCACAACCTTTCTTGTTTAGTATAGAAAATGGCACAATTTTCCAGCAGTTTTTTTTAAATCAACCACAATATTATTTACTTTATCCATAATACTGAGAAAGTTTTGTCAGTACAGAAGATGGGCTGCTGGTATGAAGAATAGTCACTTTCAGACCAATCTGGATTGCTGGAAAGAATTTAAAATGAGGTTTAAAAAAAGGTGGTTTTACCCAATCTATAATATTGGGCAGAATTTTCTAAAAACTTACTTTATGTGCGTTTTCTTTACATGTAAATATCAAGTATGATTTTCTAAAAGCATTTAAAAAATTGGGCTTAACAAAAAATGGGCCTAAATTTTTGTTAAAGAAGTTGGTCAAGGGCCTAGGTGTGTGGGCCTAAGAAGTTTCTCACAGGCCAAAAAATTAAATTGGGTATGGTCATTTTGTTTTACTCTAGATTGGCTTCTGCCCAATTTTCCTATTTGGCTCTCCCCTCACTGAATCATGATTGGATTTTTTAGCCCTGAATTGAAGGATTTTTTATTCGTAAGCTATTTTTTGAGGCATGAGAGCCTTTTGCAAGCTTTGGAAAGCCATATATGAGCGTAAAACTCATTTGCCAAGCTGTAAACCAAGATTGTAATAATCCTACTGTTTTCTAAAATCAGGAGGCTCAAAAGCAATACCTTTTTCATTTTCATTGAAACAGGAATCAGGTGGCTCCAAAGTCATGTATTTCTGATGAATTGAAAACTTGTGGCTCAGAAATACCTAATGGTTACATTAAAAACACTTTATTATTAAAACACATCCAGAGAGCTGTGCTCCACAGTAATAAAGCTGTCATCAAGGCTATGTTCATAATGTCAGCTCTTCCTTGTCTATAAAATCCTTATTTCAATTCATGCACTCTAAAACATTCTCTCAATTATAGCACTTATTAATGATAGATTTACTATGCATATATATTTGGTAAATCAATATTTGAACAATAAAATATTCTTAAAATCCAGCCTCCTAGACTAGTTAGTAGCCTTGAGATTATATTTAAATGATGAGTTTGAGTTTGACAGGCAATTTTTACTGCCTTATACATGTGTTGCTTTGGCCTGATTTGCCAGATCAGGGCGGGATGAAATTTTGAATTATGTTCATAAACTATGCAGCTTAATGTTCTTCTAGCAGTATTATTAATTAATACGTATACAAATTGAATATGATGATATTTATTTTTTTTTGCTATGGTATTTCCTTCATGGCTCCTTTGCTGGCTAATGTCCACTGAGACAAATGATTATTTTCTCAGTTCTCCTTAGGCTGATAAGACATTAACACGTTAAGTGCGGCACAACCCACATTTCAGGCAGATGGCCTGAAAATGGCCAGGTCTGCAGATAAAAAAGCCTACAATTCAAAATATACTAGTAAAATTGAAGGTTATGGTGCAAAAATTGAATTTTTTATTCTTTCCTTGATTTTCAAAATTTAATAGGGTCGTAGTGCCATCATAATTTTTGTTGAAAAGCGCTGTTACCGGGGGTAATCTTAGGGCAGACCAAGCTCATGTGTTTCAGCTCACAAATGTCTATTATCTATTTCATTTATTTATTGTTTTCATTTATTGCAAACATGGTTATTATTTGTTATATTTCATGCATTTATGTCTAATGTCGCCCTATGTTGTTTTGTCTCGTTTCAGGTAATGAATGACGCCATAAACTCTATTTAATGCATGCCAAATAAACTTGTCTCGAGTTAGCAGAATATTCTAAAACTCTCACCGCCATCACCAAATTGTGAGTTGGCTTATTCTTTGTGCGTGATTCAATTATGTACATATTTTAGGCTGATTGCTTTATGCATTTTGGTTCTTATTCATTCTATTGTCATTTATTGTTACAATGGTTCTTTTTATATCTGTCAGGTTGATTAATTTTTAGTGCGATGCTTGTGCTTGCAATAATTACTTTAATTGTTTTCTTAAATCATTTTTGCATTTAAAAGATCTGCACTTGCACTTGCTCTTGACTGTTTTAACCCTATATAATATATTCCTTAATTCACTCCTATTTTGTTGTTCATGTTTAAAGTCAAATTAATTCACTAAATTCCCTCACATAGCAAATAAATTATTATGTCTCTTATTGCATGTATATTTATGTTCATTTGTTTGTTTCAGTTGCTGTGTGTTTCACTCCACCCATTGTTTCATTCCATAGTTCATATTCCTTAGTTTCATAGTTCTATAGTCCTGAATTATCTTGTCTATTGATCCAATTCTAAGTATGAGTTTGGCAACTATTTCTTATTGTATAAAATTTTAACATATTGGCTTTTCTTTGAATAAATGAAAATAAATACTTGAATAAAAGCAAATCCCTAAGTAATTCATTAATTCCCGTTTCTGTGACAAGCACTATACGAGTAATTTTCACTAAGTGAACAACGAGTTTGTTCCACCCGCTAGTGCGCCCGGTTACAGCGCAATTGAAGACAACTAAATTGCGGAATTTATCCAAAAAAAGGCCCTGCAACTCAATGGTGGGTTGTGCCGCACTTAACGTGTTAATATATCACACAACAAGGAGCAATTAGCAAAGAGTTATATAATGTTTAGGGGAGGAAGAAGTACACAAGGCAAAACCTTGGACTGAACCTTACCTTAGTAACTTGGCTTAGATCTTAAGACTAATCAAGTTGCCAGGTTCACATATTAAATCTTGAGTATATGAAATTATATTCCTAGAAGGCCATTTGTTGTGGCAGCTTCATCTAAAATTCTTGTAAGAAAACATTAAATTTTGGGTTGAATATTTGTGGGTAACTGTTTGTAGGATGCTAAGGAAAATAGGCAAATTTGGTTTTTGCACTGTATAAAGAGTATAGAGTATTTTACTCATCCATATATTTTACATTTATTTTATATGTAAATATTTACATATATTATATGTACATTTTACAAGAGTATATAGGTACCTTTATATTTTTTCACTGTCCAATGGTGTATGAGAGGTTTTAATTGTTGCTAATATTATTAATGACTTGACAGGTCTGGCATCCAGTAACTGTGGTGCAAGAACTCTGGCAGAGCTCTTGGATATCTGGACTGTTCTTGCCCACCCTCTGTTACCTCATCCTTGTCAGGGTTCATGTGCACAACTACTCAGGTAGGTATATTATATATTAGGTATATATAGTATATACCTGAGGAGATATACTCAGGATTATATATTACTGCATATATTCCTTCTATGTGCAGTCAATCTACTCTTGTTACTATTGAATGATTGAATAGACTGTTTAGTCTGGAAAACATTTATTTATAGAATGGAAGACTACAAAAATTTGTCATGAAATTGTATGTAATCAAGTCTAATTATTAGTTGAATAATATTTTTCCTCATTTTACTAAATGCTTAAGATTTAGATACGTATGTATATTTATATGGGTGGTTAATGATTGAAGAATTCATTGATTTAAATTGTCAGGGTTGAACAATATTCTCCAGATGACATTGGTTGATGAAAATGAAGCTTCAAGGAAGATAATTTAATTTATGAACGTTTCTAAAGTAACAACTTTAACATTAATTTTCAAGTTTTAGGAATCATTGGACTCCAGCTTTCAGTCACATATGAACTAGGTACCCAATTTTCTGAACCTTAAGACTGCTTCAGAATTATTTTCACGGTTCCAAATTTGTGTTGTCATATTTATGTGCCTCATGTGCTTATTTTAGCCAAAATTTCAGTATTCAATGCTAGCTATAACTTTAGAATGAATGTTGTCACATTTGAAACGGTTAATAAATTAAATATACTTCCTTGAAGCTGCATTTTTATCAACCAATGCCATCTGGAGAATATTGTTCAACCCTGAAAACTGAAATCAATGAATTCAGTCAATTCACTGGTCATTAATCACTTCTGTTTCAACAAGCTTATTCTGCTATCTTATACCAATGTATATATATGACTTTTCTTGAATTATTAATGTCCTCAATTGTGTTATTTATAATTTACTTTGAGGTGCAAGGCGCCTTAAGAAATTTAATGTTGCTGCATAGCAGGTACGATAAAAATCCATTCAGGAAATGAACTGGCAATAAGTTTCCTATAAGTTTTTATTGTTTTGTTGAAAAATGTAAAGTAGGTAGGTATCTTTTTCATACATAAACAAAAGAATTACTACCTATGTTATGTCTCCTTGTGAAAATACAGAAAACTAATTCATTGATTATTTATTGATTATTTATATAGTTGTGGAGGACCACAGCACCAAAGTATGGCATGTGTGCCACAAGGCGCTCAGACTGAAGTCGCTGTGTGTCACTGCCGTGCTGGTGTCCTGCATCAGCTACCTCACGCATCACTATGCTGCTGCTGCTCATCCTCTCTTCGCTTCTCTTGTACTCCCATGCTCTAGGTAATATACCTACCTATATACAGTACATATGCAAATAGTGACCAGAGAATTCGTTGCCATCTAGAACTAATATATTCATATATGCATATCTAGTTTATATTTGGTCAATCATTGCTCCCTGAAGCATTTTAGTTTCTAGTTTTTTCTTGTTAGTCTGAGGTGTGTATGGTTCATGTATTTAGTTCAACAAATCAAGAATTAAAATTCATCTCTAACTACTACTGAGATGATGATTGTTAAGCGCAAGGGGAATTTATACATATTTTGCAGTAAATAATGTTAATCACAATCATATGAACATGAAAAGTTATGGTATTAGTCATGTGCAGTTCTGGAAGCGCAGCCACGTGCATGAATTCGCGCGCCCTGCTCGCATGGTGTCTGGGCGTCGTCTGCGGGCTGCACTACGCCTTTGTTTACATTCTCGGTGGCGGCAACCTCGTCACCATGGCAACCATCCCCGCCCCCAAGAAGCAGAGGCTGCGAGCTCTGTTGGCGCCCAGCGCTCTTGGGAGGAGGATGCACGCTGCGTTCTGGGGAGATGGCGAGAATGAACCTCACCTCGCAGGCATTGGCATCAGAGGTGTCATGTCCTTAGTTATCTGCTATGCTTTTATTGGTGAGAAGATCAAATTAATTGTATGTTTAGTATCGTTTAAATTTTAGTGAGTTAATTCGTTTGGAAAATAGTTATTTTCATATTTCCCTATTGAACTGTTCTTGAGGTCTAATATTTTCGTCTGAAATGCCATTGTTTCATTTTACTCTAGACTCCACGTTTCTTCTCCCTATATTAGTACTCTGGCCACATTTTATTCGACATTTTAAGTAAAATGAGTATTTAATATTCATTGCATATTCAGTTAAATGAGTATTTAATATTCATTGCATTTTTGATGCAGGGGGGATGCTTGAGTCTTGGGTAGGCAACGTCTTGGGGATTAACCCCAGCTCTGAGCTCCCCCATGCTGATGCTCTCACCTCCGACTTCAATTCAACGGACAATATTCCTGCTCTCAAACAAGGTCAGTTAAACAGAACTATTAAGATGTATAAGATAAATATAACCTTAACCTCACAAACATCATGTAGTGTTTTGTATCCATTGGCTGATTTAAAAACATCAACAGCTACAATAACTTCATTTATGAGCATATTTACTTCATATAGTAGTAGAAAATTACTGCCGTTAAGACATTCAGTGATTCACTTCAGTAAAACGACCAGCTAAGAGCTTCATTGTAATGATTCAAAGCCACTACGATAGATCGTTAATGAAAAATGATCAATGATTGTCAGTCTATTTAGTCAAATTTCCAATCATTATCATGTTGGCTTCCTAGTTTCCAAGGTTCAATAAATTAGGATGTTTGTTTTGTTAGATTAAAGCTCTTTTTTAATGCAAGTTTGCTTGAAGATCAGCGAGTATATAAATGTATTGTTATTAAATCCCTGCTTCTCATCAGAACTTGCATTAAATTGCGACATATAGGCAAATATCATCATTGTGATATTGACAACCAAAAAAGGCTTATTTAACAGTGATAACCTTAAGAAGAGGATGTTGATTCAATTTGTGTTTGTTTCAACCGCAACATGAGTACAAAATAATAATAATAAAGATAATAATATTGATGTTAATAATTGATATTCGTGTCAGCCACAAGATTGGGGGTGACAATAATAATAGAAATAATGGTATTGATAGTAATGAAAAAGGGTGTTTTTTTCAGCTGTGTCCTATGTAAGAAATAATAACAAAGATAATATTGATGATAATAAGTAAATAATTATTGTTGCGTCAGCCGTGACTTATGTAAGAAACAATAGCGAAGATAAGGGTATTGATAATAATAAGTAAATAAGTATTGCCTCAGCCGTGACTTATGTAAGAAATAATAGCGAAGATAATAGTATTGATAATAATAAGTAAATAAGTATTGTCTCAGCCGTGACTTATGTAAGAANACATGTCCATTTTGGGGAAGATTAATGGAAACGTATCCATAATGGGCAACAATAATGGCAACATGTCTATGATGGGGAATAATGGCAACGTGTCCATGATGGGGGATAATGGTAACATGTCCATAATGGGCAACAATAATGGCAACATGTCTATGATGGGGAATAATGGCAACATGTCCATGATGGGGGATAATTTTGGCAACATTTCCTTGCTGGGTAGAAATGATTCTACCGTCGGCTATCACATGGGCAACACATCATTGTTGGGGGGTAACTTTGGGAATGCTTCGATGGTGGGGAACACGCTAGGCAACACTTCAATGCTGGGGAATACCTCAACTATGGGGAATAATAATGCTACAATGCATGGGAATATGTCAACAACAGGCAACATTCCCATCATACGGAATGCAGCAGGCAACATGGCTCTCTTTGGCCACGCTGTTGCCAACTGCGATAAAGTGTCGACAGAAGCTGGCACCGAGACTAAGAAGAAGAAGTTGATGGAATTTTTCAAGTCCACTTTGGCTTCTGCTTACAGTCAGGTATGCATAAATCTTCCCTCTGGTATAAGTTGCAGTTGTTCCTTGGGAGAAAATGTATTGGTGAAATCATATAAATATTTAAAATATTTGAATCTTTGCTTTACTTATTCATAGAAGTCTACTGCCGTTAGATCCACCCTCCCTGCCATAAAGTTCTGCCATTCCTATAACACATCACCATTAACCGATCTCCGGAGTAAAGAACTCGTTTAGTTCTATGGAAAAATTGTGTGGTGCTCACAGATTAGAAGTTACAATGAAATTATTTGGAGCAAGCAATTAGACTTTATTTAATCACTCCATATTTTAGTTTGTTGTGGACATAATGCGTCTCGAATAACTGTCATGAATAATTGTTAGTGCAGTTGGTGAAAAAAATGCAGAAAATGCCTTGAGTTACAATAGTACACATGTTGATTATTATATCATTAGTTAGTATTTACTAATAATTGCCGACATTAATTAATTAATTGCCGTGCAGTTAGTGGAGAAGATGCGCCGCCTGCCACTGGTGCGCTCCCTGCTGGCTGACCTTCCTGACGCTGCAAACAGACGCGTCTTCGCTGGTGCTATGCCACTGGTGTGGCTAGTGCAAGGTGGTGTGGCTAGTGCAAGGTGGTGTGGCTAGTGCTAGGTGGTGTGGCTAGTGCAAGGTGGTGTGGCTAGTGCAANAACTCACTGCAGGTCTGTGTGGCGTCTTGTATTAACTATACAACACACTGCAGGTCTGTGTGGCGTCTTGTATTAACTATACAACTCACTGCAGGTCTGTGTGACGTCTTGTATTAACTATACAACACACTGCAGGTCTGTGTGACGTCTTGTATTAACTATACAACACACTGCAGGTCTGTGTGGGCGTCTTGTATTAACTATACAACACACTGCAGGTCTGTGTGGGCGTCTTGTATTAACTATACAACACACTGCAGGTCTGTGTGACGTCTTGTATTAACTATACAACACACTACAGGTCTGTGTGGGCTGGTCACGGCGAGTTACACAGAGGACGAGTTTGGTGTCGTGCAGCGCGACCTGAGCAACCTGCTGGCGGCCATACTCAACCTCAACCTGGTGCGGTGGTAGGGTTGTAATGCGCTGCCTGGTGCGGTGGTAGGGTTGTAATGCGCAGCCTGGTGCGGTGGTAGGGTTGTAATGCGCAGCCTGGTGCGGTGGTAGGGTTGTAATGCGCAACCTGGTGCGGTGGTAGGGTTGTAATATGCAGCCTGGTGCAGTGGTAGGGTTGTAAAGCTCAGCCTGGTGCGGTGGTAGGGTTGTAATACGCAGCCTGGTGCGGAGGTAGGGTTGTAATGCGCAGCCTGGTGCAGTGTTAGGGTTGTAATGCTCAGCCTGGTGCGGTGGTAGGGTCGTAATACGCAGCCTGGTGCAGTGGTAGGGTTGTAAAGCTCAGCCTGGTGCGGTGGTAGGGTTGTAATACGCAGCCTGGTGCAGTGGTAGGTTTGTAATTCGCTGCCTGGTGCGGAGGTAGGGTTGTATTGCTCAGCCTGGTGCGGTGGTAGGGTTGTAAAGCTCAGCCTGGTGCGGTGGTAGGGTTGTAATACGCAGCCTGGTGCAGTGGTAGGGTTGTAATTCGCTGCCTGGTGCGGTGGTAGGGTTGTAATACGCAGCCTGGTGCAGTGGTAGGGTTGCAATTCGCTGCCTGGTGCGGAGGTAGGGTTGTAATAAGCAGCCTGGTGCGGTGGTAGGGTTGTAATGTGCAGCCTGGTGCGGTGGTAGGGTTGTAATGTGCAGCCTGGTGCAGTGTTAGTATCAATGTTATGTGTTTGTAGGGCAAGTATAACACAGCTTTTCGTTGTACGCGCAACTCTGGGTTTTGTGAAAGTTTGAATGTATGGATCATCACAGTAAGCTTCAATGTTCTAACACTAGCAACCTGCCAAGTTAACTCTTTAGTCCATTTATTTGATATAAAAGAAGAGTTAAGAGTAAGAGTAAATGGCTGCATGTTTGCCATTATCTTGCAAATTTTAAACTAGCACGACGTCAAGAGCAATCCTGTGCCAAGGTAACTTTGTATAGGATTTACATGTATCATGATTCAGCATTGTATCATCACACTGTCAGCGTTGTATCATCACAATGTCAGCGTTGTATCATCACAATGTCAGCATTGTATCATCACAATGTCAGCGTTGTATCATCACACTGTCAGCATTGTATCATCACAATGTCAGCGTTGTATCATCACAATGTCAGCGTTGTATCATCACACTGTCAGCATTCTTATTGTACGTTAGAAAACCTGTCCTATGTCAGGACTCGCCTGGCTGTCTAGTGTGCTCATATTTTTATTTCAACAATTTCTAATCAACGCCACACCACCTAATTATTTCCCTATCCTCTCTCATCGATATATATCGTTTCACTCCCACGCTTTTTCTTCATCAGTAACTTGTTTCTGATGTAACATTATGTAGCAGTAGTTATAATTTTTCCCCTTACCATGAATTGCTAATTCACCCTGACCCCCCAGGTCCTGGACAAGGTGGGGCGCGCCCCCTTGCCTAAGCTGTGGGGTGGGGGAGGGGGTGTGGGTGTAGTGGGGGGCATGGGGGGCAGCACCCCCCACCACCTCACCCTGAGACGCGCCCTCAAGTCTGCCCTGCGCACCGCCATGTACAGACTCACGCACACCTTCGGCGACACGCTCATGTTAGTGCTATTCCTACCTGTAATGCTATTCCTGCCTGTAGTGCTATTCCTGCCTGTAGTGCTATTCCTGCCTGTAGTGCTATTCCTGCCTGTAGTGCTATTCCTGCCTGTAGTGCTATTCCTGCCTGTAGTGCTATTCCTGCCTGTAGTGCTATTCCTGCCTGTAGTGCTATTCCTGCCTGTAGTGCTATTCCTGCCTGTAGTGCTATTCCTGCCTGTAGTGCTATTCCTGCCTGTAGTGCTATTCCTGCCTGTAGTGCTATTCCTGCCTGTAGTGCTATTCCTGCCTGTAGTGCTATTCCTGCCTGTAGTGCTATTCCTGCCTGTAGTGCTATTCCTGCCTGTAGTGCTATTCCTGCCTGTAGTGCTATTCCTGCCTGTAGTGCTATTCCTGCCTGTAGTGCTATTCCTGCCTGTAGTGCTATTCCTGCCTGTAGTGCTATTCCTGCCTGTAGTGCTATTCCTGCCTGTAGTGCTATTCCTGCCTGTAGTGCTATTCCTGCCTGTAGTGCTATTCCTGCCTGTAGTGCTATTCCTGCCTGTAGTGCTATTCCTACCTGAACTGTAGTGCTATTCCTACCTGAACTGTAGTGCTATTCCTACCTGAACTGTAGTGCTATTCCTACCTGAACTGTAGTGCTATTCCTACCTGAACTGTAGTGCTATTCCTACCTGAACTGTATTGCTATTCCTACCTGAACTGTAGTGCTATACCTACCTGAACTGTATTGCTATTCCTACCTGAACTGTAGTGCTATACCTACCTGAAGTACTATTATCTACCTGAACTGTAGTGCTATTCCTACCTGAACTGTAGTGCTATTCCTACCTCAAGTGCTATTCCTACCTGAACTGTAGTGCCATTCCTACCTGATCTGTAGTGTTTTTCTTACCTAAATTTTGCTGTTATTACGCAAGTTGTAGATTCTTAAGGCTTTGGCTAATGTCATACCTGTCCGAACTTGGAGATTGTTATTATATATTTTTTTTGAATGGTCGATCATATGGCATTCCTTCCTGATCCGCGGAATATTATTAACCACCATTGTAATGGTATTCCTACCTGAACAATGGTGCAGGCAAGGCTCATTCCATTTCAGCAATTCCTTTTTCATATCATCATGCTTCTATCAATCATGTACTGTATAGGTTTGCACGAATAACAATTTTCTTCATCTATTTATTTATTTCTTTTGCTGACTAACGTTTATGAAAGTTGTTATGATAATTATTGTTATGATAATTATTGTTATTATAATTGTTATGATAATTTATTGTTTACAGGGAAGTTGAATTATCGAGCGCCCATCGCGCCAAGGTGAAGGCCTACCTCGACCTGAGAGAAGGATGAGTCATTCATCTACCAGTATCATTGAGTGTGTATTCATCTACCAGTATCATTGAGTGTGAATTCATCTACCAGTATCATTGAGTAAGAATTCATCAAGCTCCTTCATGATTGTTATCATCGCGTTCATGTTAATTGATGTTGATAAGAGTAATGTCATTTTATGTATTGTGTTCTAATTATTTGGTTTAAAAAGCTCTGTGTAAGAATTGTTTTACCATTGGCCCATTAAATGATGCCACTTGTTTATAACTTGGATCAAATGAATTTCTGTATATTTATTAAATTACTAATACAATAAAGCTTTGGCTGTAACAGATTATACATTTCAAGGCCTGATTATTAATTAACGTTTATTATTTAGTAAAACATTTTTGTTATCACTTATCATTAGTGTATATCCTAACGCATTTTGGCGTTTACAGTTTCCTGATATTTGATGGAATTTTCTAATAGTTTATTGTAGCAAAACATTCACCTCTTTCTGGTAGCTGTATTTGCAGCCAAAATATTCATTTAAACTAAACGAGATCCTGGCAAGGAAAGTGAGGGGAAAATGTCCCTGGAGATTCTCTGTTATGTTGCAAGCACTCCATCATCAGCATCAATTCATCTCATCATTTGTATTTTCTTTAGTTGCTCGCTTAGTTCGGTCGCTTATTTTCACCCGTTGGTGAACCGTGGCGCCCAGTTGAACTTATTTCTTCTAGTTTCACCCATTGATGTCCACACTGAACCGTGGCGCCTGGTTGAATTTAAGTTTGTAAAGCTCTAGTGACTGCACATGTAGCCAAAAATTGTGCTTCATAGCACGGCTATTAAGATAAAATATTTTCTTGTACATTTATGACCCTCTTTTTATGATTTGCATTTTTTCGAAGAAGGAAACTGCGCTCCTAAGAACGTAAGTCAAATAACTTAGTTTTCTACGCGCAGCTGTAAGAATTGAATAGAAAGCTCCGCGCCAATTAATTGTTCATTAATAAAACTAAATGAACTTGTGTGTTATTCAAAAGTGTATCAATATTTTATAGGCTGTCATGTCTACTCCTTGACGTTATTAAACTGATGCCTTGTAAGAGCCTTGGCTGTACAGCGCGGTCTCTAGATATGAGTAAACGATATCTTATCTTATTTGTATTTGCTTTGAACCTATTGACAACCTTGCTTTATTTCTAGTGTAGGTGAAATGAAGTTAACTAGCAAAATTGAAAATAAGTCGTTCTAAATTAATTACATGTTGCGCAGATGGACTAATTCTTTTAAATAATATTTTTCATGCTGGCAAGATGTTGATTTTGAAGCTTTTCAAAATCAATGTAACTCAATGAGCAACAGAGGACTATTGACTCTCAGCAGGACTATTTCTCTCCATAATCTCCATGTGTTGCTTGTGGGGTTGTTTAATTAATTATTATATCATATTAATAATTAAGCTTAATTAATTAAGAAGCTCGCGTCAAGCGATCGGTGCTAGCTTCACATCCAACGCTCGAGCGTGCCTGGGCACATGAAGGTCCAGCTCGTGCCTAGCGCTTACTTGTACGTAAGGTTGAGTTGCTCGTGATTAGGCATCTCAGTCGAGTAATCAGGGAGCGCTAATATCTTATAATTTATTATCATTTTCCAGAATTAACACGTTGACTACGATTGCTTCAGATAAACCATGGATTGCTTTGTCTTGTACTATTATTTCATTTTTTCTACTTTTTAAGCAGGGTTGCCAGACGGTCATTTTTCCCGGACAAATTCCGTGATTTAGTTTCTCTCAATTGCGTTGGCCGGCTAAAATTTATGATAGGGGTACTTCCTAATTCAATTTTAAATACTGCAAAAAGGAAATAAATTGAATTTTTATAGCGGAACCTACAAATAAACTAGTATACATTGAATTATCGGCTTTTTTTGTTGTCGAATTTGGCCGATTTTAGGCAACCTGAATTATGTACCACTACCTCCTGGAGAAATACATTTCGTGGTACGCATATGTACCAATACGTAGTCAACGTGTTAAAGAAGAAATAATGGCTCCACGAGTCCAATAATAATTTTGAAGACCACATTACATAGGCAATTGCAGTTATGTAAATCATCCAATCTAGAATTAATTAATCATTTATCAGATACGGACCGTACTAATGGTATAAATGTGTTGCTACTGATATTTAAAATTACTTAAATCACAGTTGGTACATATTAAAGTTGATGAATGAATTGGCATGGATAATAATAATGAGGTCTGGTTGGCTGGTAACTGCTGGGTTGTTATCAGCTTGAAATTTCCTCTCGTTCGTAGAAAATAAAGTGCAGATGATAACTCAAAGAAATATTCATATAAATTGCGGAGGTATTCAAGGAAATATTTATTTATATTGCGGAGGGTAACTCAAGGAAATATTTATATATTCCGATGGTAACTCAAGGAAATATTAATATATGTTCACAACACGGCTTACTTCTTCTAATTGTTTTGCCGGTCTATTCAGAAAAATGAGTGATAATATGACAAATAGCTATCTATAGTTTGCCCTGGTGTAGGTCATGTACACCAAGTTTAGGTCAAGAAAATGAACTTATCAGCGCTCCGTGCAGAATGTAAGTAATCATTTTGACGACCCACACATGTCTCTGAGTGTCATGTGTCAGTGACGCAAGGAGTGTAATGCTGTACGTCAAACACGTTGACCACGACACTTCGTCCTGCCAGATCATGATGGGGTAATTTTATAATAATAGCGGTGTCAGACTTATTAGGCCGTAGGCCTGTCGCCGATTCTTAACATCGCAGAACATTCACAGCATTTTGCGGTCTCGAACTCGCAACTCACTGCTACAATTCTGCTGTGCTTAACCGTCCGGCCTCCTTGCCGATTCTGACCAGAAACTGGCGCACAGAGCTGGGATCAAACCCGCGCCTCTCTGCGCCAATCTTGGTACTCAGGCCCTATATTTTTAAAAAAAAGTTAAGAGATCGTAAGTTCATCAGCCAATAATTGACGGCATTTCAAGCAAAATCTACCAATCATAGACAAGAAAATAGAGCGTAAGTACTTACGTTCACTTAGTGAGTTTTGAAAGTATGGCCCCTGGTTCAAAACTCGCTAAGTGAACGTAAGTACTTACGCTCTATTTTCTTGTCTATGATTGGTGGATTGCTTGAAAGGCCGTCAATGATTGGCTGATGAACTTACGATCTCCTAACTTTTTTTGAAAGTATGGGCCCTGAACTGTAACCACTGGGCCACCCTGCCCAGTGGTTAATTTTGTGGGAGACTATTCTACTTTTAGGCTATTATTGTACATCGGGTCTGCCATACTATCCTGCTGGGAAATTTGTAGAATTTAGACTGCACGGGAGTTGTGTTTGAGGAAGATAAAAATTATTGATTGAACGTCATATATTAGATAAGAAATCATGTAAGACTGCGCTGAAGTTGTCTTGAGTCTATCGCCTATGTCACCTGATGAAAGATTGCTTTAATGAAATAAATACAAGAAATATACACACAACCAATTTATTCATGTCGTGAAAAACGTTGGTAAGAATTTATTATCGAATATACTCGTACATGTGCGATAAATATTATACGTTGCATTTTCTTGAATTCATTTATTGCCTTAAACGAAAGATTTCCTCTGATGAGGGCAAGGCTAACGTTCTTAATCAGTTCTTCAGCAGTGTGTTCACAGATGAGGACTTGAACAGTATTCCAGATATTGAGGAGCGCCCAGTCGGCTCGAAGTTAACATGTTTTGAAATACACGAAGAAGAGGTTCTCAAGCGCCTGGTAGCTCTAAAT